TTGAAAAAAGGAATATGCCGCGATCCCGAGATTCGGGTCAGTTTGGTGAATTTCGTACGAGACGCCTTCTGAAAAAAAGGCGCACGATCGTGCAAAGAAAATGACGTTCGGGGTCCTTCGCGTGGCCACCGCGCGGGCTCGCTGGTTGCCCAAGGCGCCCGGTCGCACAATGCAGCGCAATGGGAAGCAACGCCTTATCATTGCCCATCGCATGTCTCGTTCATCCACGTTTTCGCCTGGCCTTGCGAACCCTTTCCCGTCTGCCGCAGGTCTTTTTGCGGAGGCTCCTCGTTGGAAAGCCTTTTGTGGGCCCCGCGAGTGCCTCTCGAGGGCTTTTGTTTGGGGACCTCTGGAGGCTTCCCGGGTGCCCTTCGGGCCTTCTCGGGGGTCGTTTTGAAGCCCGCGTGGGCCGTCTTGGGTCTCCTTTGGGCCGGCCTGGTGTGTTTTTGGGGAACCTGGGCCCTGTTGGGGACCTCCAGTGGCCCGCGTGGGTCTCTGGTGGGGGCCTTGCCCTCGTGGGCTTGTTTTGGGCCGTCCTGGGGCAGTCTTGGGGTTCTGTTGGCCCCGGTCGGCGCCCTCTTGGGGGCCTCTTGGGCCGCCTTGGGGCGATCTGGCGGGCTGCGACGACACAACAAGCGAATATGCCAAACATGTACGTTTTCTGTGGGGGCAGGGGACGATTTTTGCTTCTTGGGGGCTTTCCTGAAAGGCCTGTTGGGGCGTCTTTGGGGCCTCTTGGGCCGTCTCGGGGGCCGTCGTGCGCTGCCGTGGGGCTCTCCTGGGGAACTGGGGCCCTCCTGGGGACCTCCCCTGGCCCTCGTGAGTCTCTCTTTGGAGCCCTTGGGGGCCTCGTGAGCTTTTTTTTTTTGCCGTGTTGGGGCAGTCTTGGGGTCCTCTTGGCCTGGGTCGAAGCCGTGGGGCGATCTCGCAGGCTTAGTGGGCCGTCCTGGACGCCGCGACGACACAAACAGCGAAGATGCCAAACATGTGCGCTTTCTTTGGCGAAGGGGACGATATTGCCTCTTGTGGGCTCTCCTGAAGGTCTCTTGGGGGTGTCTTTGGGGCCTCTTGGGCCGTTGTAAGGCCACCTTGCGCTGCCGTGGGGCTCTCCTGGGGAACTGGGGCCCTCCTCCTGGGGACCTCCCCTGGCCGTCGTGAGTCTCTCTTTGGAGCCCTTGGGGGCCTCGTGAGCTTTTTTTGAGCCGTCTTGGGGCAGTCTTGGGGTCCTCTTGGCCCGGGTCGAAGCCCTCTTGGTGGCCTCTTGGGCCGCTATGGGGCGATCTCGCAGGCTTAGTGGGCCGTCCTGGACGCCGCGACGACACAAACAGCGAAGATGCCAAACATGTATGTTTTCCTTGGGAGAGGGGACGTTTTTTTCCTCTTGGGGTCTCTCCTGAAGGCCTCTTGGGGCGTCTTTGGGGCATCTTTGGGGCCTCTTGGGCCGTCTTAGGGCCTCTTAGGCCGTCTTGAGGCCGTCATGCGCTGCCGTGGGGCTCTCCTGCGCCTCTCTGACCATTCGTCTGATCGCTTTGAGCTTGCTGGCAAGGCCCGGCAAGGCGCCCTGGGAGGCGCGGCAGGGCTGGGGGACCTTTTCAGGGGCGTCCAGTGGGCCTTAAAGCTCCAGATCCTGGGGGGTCCTTTTTTGGGGGCGGGGGGGGCGCTTTTTCCCGCCCCCCGGTTTATAAACATATAGGAATGATGTTGCTGTTGCTGATGATGATGCTGATGATGATGATGATGATGATGATGATGATGATGATGATGATGATGATGATGATGATGATGCTGATGCTGATGCTGATGCTGATGCTGATGCTGATGCTGATGCTGATGATGACGATGATGATGATGATGATGATGATGATGATGATGATGATTATGATGATGATGATGATGATGATGATGATGATGATGGTGGTGCTGATGATGAGGTGGATGAGGATCAGGATGAGGATGAGGATGAGATTGAGGATGAGGAGGAGGATGAGGATGAGCATGAGGATGAGGATAAGGATGATGATGCTGCTGATGATGATGATGCTGGTGGTGGTGGTGATGATGATGATGATGGTGATGATGATGATGATGATGATGATGATGCTGATGATGATGATGATGATGATGATGATGATGATGATGATGATGATGATGATGATGATGATGATGCTGGTGATGATGATGAAAAGAGCGTGTTCTACCGCTGCTTGCGGAAAACCGGGGGGGGGGTCATTGGTGGTTCCCAACCCGTCCCCCTCCCTGAAACCGAGGGGGGCCACTACCCGTTCGACCCCCCCCCTCGCCGCCGGCAAACGATTCCCGCTCTTCGGGACAGTTGGACAATGGTGGGGATACTGGGACAGTGGTGGGAACGGTGGTGGTGGGGAAGTGGTGCGGGGACAGTGGGACAGTGGTGCGGACAGTGGTGCGGACAGTGGTGGGGACGGTAGTGGTGGGGACAGTGGTGAGTGGACAGCGGGACAGTGGTGGGGACAGTGGGACAGTGGTGGAAACGGTAGTGGTGGGGACAGTGGTGAAGGCGGTGGTGAGGACAGTGGTGGGACAGTAGTACAGTGGGGAGCGTTGTGGGGACAGTGGGGGCAGCGGGACAGTGGTGGGCACAGTGGGGACGGTGGGACAGCACAGTGGGACAGCGGCGGGGACAGTGGGACAGTGGTGGGTACAGTGGGGACAGTGGGACAGTGGTGGGGACCGTGGGGAAAGTGGGGAGAGCGGGACCGTGGTGGGACAATGGTGGGGAGAGTGGGGACAGTGAAACACTGGCGGGGGCACTGGTGGGGACAGCGGGGACAATGGTGGGAACTGTGGGGACAGTGGGACAGTGGTGGGGACTGGGACAGTGGTGGGGACGGTGGTGGTGGGGACAGTGGTTTGGGGACAGTGGGAACGTGGTGGGGACAGTGGGACAGTGGTGGGGACAGTGGTGGTGGGGACAGTGGTGGTGGGGACAGTGGTGAGGGCAGTGGCGAGGACGGCGGTGGGACAATGGGACAGAGGTACAGTGGGGACAGTGGTGGGGACAGTGGTGGGAACAGTGGGACAGCTCAGTGGGACAGCGGCGGGGACAGTGGGAGAGTGGGGACAGTGGGACAGTGGTTGGGGCCGTGGGGAAAGTGGGGAGAGTGGGACCGTGGTGGGAACAGTGGTGGGGGCAGTGGGAACAGTGCGACAGTGGTGGGGGCACTGGTGGGGACAGTGGGGACGGTAGTGGGGGGGTGGTTAGGGGGGCGGGGGTGGGAGGTTCCAGCAGGGGGGGGATTTTCGGAGGGGAGGGGACCCCCGGGTTACGGAGGAAGAGGGGGGGAATTTTCCAGAGTAAAGCGGCGGTGGATCACGTTCTCGGTCTCTGATGATGATGATGATGATGATGATGATGATGATGATGATGATGATGATGATGATGATGATGATGATGATGATGATGATGATGATGATGATGATGATGATGATGATGATGATGATGATGATGATGATGATGATGATGATGCTGATATGATGATGATGATGATGGTGGTGATGATGATGATGGTGATGATGATGCTGAAGCTGATCCTGATGATGATGTGATGATGATGAGGAGGAGGAGGAGGAACATGAGGAGGAGAAGGAGGCGGAGGAGGGGAGGAGGAGGAGGATGAGGAGAGGAGAAAGAGGAGGAGGAGGAGGAAGAGGAGGAGGAGGAGGAGGAAGAGGAGGATGAGGAGGAGGAGGAGGAGGAGAAAGAGGAGGAGGAGGAGGAGGAAGAGGAGGAGGAGGAGGAAGAGGAGGATGAGGAGGAGGAGGAGGAGGAGGAGGAGGAGGAGGAGGACGAGGAGGACGAGGAGGACGAGGAGGACGACGAGGACGAGGAGGACGAGGAGCAGGAGGATGAGGGCCGTCACATGTGACACCTTTCGTCTTCACTACTTGAGGAGCTCTCATGGGACTCGTTTCGGTCTTCTTGGGGCTGTCTTGGCCGCCTGTGAGGCAATCTTCAAGGTCCCGTGGGACCCTCTTGGGCCGTCTTGGGGCCCTCTTGGCCGTATGGTGGTTGTCTGGCGACCGTCGTGGGGCCAAGACGGCCGCTTTGGGCAGCCGAAGGGCCTTATAAGGCCGTGCTGGGTCCCATGGGAGGCCCTGGTGAGCTGTCTTGCGGCCGTCTTGGAGGCCTCTTGGGCCCTCATGGGGTCGTCTTAGGCTATCTTTATACCCTCGTGGGAGGCCTCTTGGGCTGTTTTGGGGCCATCGTGGAAGCTTCTTGGGCCGTCTTGGGCTGACGGAGTGCGAGAGTCATTCAATGACAAAGGGAAGTCACGGATTTTGGCTTTTTCTGGCCTTGTCGGAGCGCTTCGTGTGGCCATTTTGGGCCCTCGGGTGGGGTCTGGCTCTGGACCTCTGCTTAGCGCGACTGTTTGCAGCACTCCGCCCTATGGGGGGAGACTCCACCTGCTCGAAACAGGCGCCCCAAGCAGCCAAGTAGGGGGTGAAGGGGGGGGGGGGTGCGAGGTCCTGCGCCGAGCGGCAAAACAATGATCAGAAAAACGATCACTCTTGTCTGCATGGGCCGCCTTGGAAGCTCGGGGCGCGGACCCACTGTTGATAGACGAGGGCTCGTGGCCTCGGGAGCGCGGATCCATAGTGTTTGTGCACGGGGATCGTGGCCTCGGGAGGGGGGGGGATGCATGCGCCACTCTGTGAGCAGCGTTAAGTTGACATAGAACCAACACATGGTATGCGGATTTGTCTTCACATGTAAAACACACACACATATATATATATGTATGTATATAGATATATTAGATATGTGTTTGTATACAATTTCACGACTTGCTATTTCACAATATGTTTGGTTCCGCGCCCAAGAGCCACCTGTAGGGGGACATGCCCGACGTACGAGTAGCGGCGGGGGCCCTGGTTAGAATACAGACGCCCTACACAGCAGCACCTAGCACTCTAACGCGCTCGCATCGGGCAGGCACGGTGGCGGATCGCAGTAATGTCAGGCACGGCGCGGGCACCGAGCACGGGAACGGGTACATCTACGAGGGACAGTGGGAAGCCAACGTCTATCACGGCCACGGGGTCCTTGAGATGCCGAACGGTATCGTGTACGATGGGCAGTTCTTCAACGGGAAGCGCCATGGAGTGGGCTTCGAGACGGAGCCCAGTGGGATAAGATTCGAGGGCGACTACGCCCGCGGCGTCAAGAGCGGCCAGGGCAAGTTCTTCATGGCGGACGGCTCGACATACACTGGACAAGTGTGCGAAAACAAGATGCATGGGACAGGCATCTACCAGTGGAATGCTGGCCATTCGTACGAGGGCCAGTGGGAGAAGGACGAGATGCATGGCCAGGGCGTTTACGTATTCGCAAATGGCAAGAAGTACGACGGGCAATACGCTCACAATCTCCAGGATGACGCGGGAGTGTTCACTCTGTTCTTCTGCTCCTCCCCGCTCCGCCCCTCCTCCCTCTCCTCCCGTCCTCCGTTTTCCTCGTCCTCATCCTTCTCCTTCAAAGCTCGTTCCCCCAGACCCGTCCAGCGGTGCGTTCAAGTCATGATTTCGATGGTACTCTGGCGACGAGAAGCCTCGCCAAGGCCCGCAAGGGGCGAAGGGCGCCCGAAAAGCTTGGTGCTCGAGCCTCGACCATGGAACCTCGATCCTCTTCTCCTTTTTCCTCTTCCGCCCCAAAAAGAAGCTTGCCAGGACGGCTTCGGATTGTTCACCTGGCCAGATGGCCGCAGGTACGAGGGACAGTTCGAGAAGGACCAGCAGCACGGAAAGGCGCGGGAGCCGCCACGGACTGCTTCTCCTCGTCCATCTCTCTCTGGTCGTAAGGCCCCCCTCGCATTCTCCTTCCCGGCTCTTCTTGTCCCTCCGTTCTCACCTCCCATCCCTTTCCCTTGCACTGTGCGCCAACTTCTCCCTGTCGCACTCCCGGGCGTGCTGGTCGGGTGGGCTGGGCGGTTCGCCCGGGCTTTCCTAGCCATTCGGGATCCTGAAGCTTGCACTTTGCAACAGCTTCTCGGATGGAGGGCGGGCTGTTTTCAAAATGTGGTTCTCGCCTTAGAGCCGCGCGTATTCGTTTTTACATGTTGACGGATGGAGGGCGGGGGTTTTTGAACATGTGGCTCTCGCCTCAGCGCCGTGCACGTTCGTTTTCAGAGTTTGCAGCAGCTTCACGGATACAGGGCGGTGGGGTTTGAACATGAGTCCTTCGCTTCAGCGTCGCGCCCATTCGTCTCGAGGATGGAGGGCTGTTCTATTTCAAAATGTTGCTGTCGTTGCAGAGCCCAACGTATTCGCGTACAACATTTGCAGCCGTTTCAGGGATGGAGGGCTGCTCCTTTTCAAAGCGTGGCTTTCGCCTGAGCGCCGCGCACACTCGTTGTTTTGTGGTTGTTGTTGTTGTTGTTGCTGTTGTTGTTGTTGTTGTTGTTGTTGTTGTTGTTGTTGTTGTTGTTGTTGTTGTTGTCGTTGTCGTTATCGTTGTTGTTGTCGTTGTCGTTGTCGTTGTCGTTGTTGTTGCTGTTGTTGTTGCTGTTGCTGTTGCTGTTGTTGCTGTTGCTGTTGCTGTTGCTGTTGCTGCTGTTGTTTATGTTGTTGCTGTTGTTGCTGTTGTTGTTGTTGTCGTTGTTGTTGTCGTCGTCGTCGTCGTCGTTGTTGTTGTTGTTGTTGTTGTTGTTGTTGTTGTTGTTGTTGTTGTTGTTGTTGTTGTTGTTGTTGTTGTTGTTGTTGTTGTTGTTGTTGTTGTTGTTGTTGTTTGTTGTTGTTTGGTGAAACAAAATGCGAGAGCTGCACGCATTGAGGGCGGTTCCTTTTCAACATGTGGTTCTCGCCTTAGCTCCGCGCCTTAGCGCCGCGCTTGCAGCAGTTTCAGGGACTCTTAAGGTCGAAGTCCCAGGAAGGGGTGTTCTGGCACGGTTCAGGACTGTCAGGAGGCAACAGAAGTGTTGGTTCTCGGTGCTGAAGTCACTCGAACGGTGTTCTGGCCTAGCGAGATGTAGGACTGTCAGGGCGCAGGAGACACGTCGATCCGCGGCGTTGAGGTCCCTGGAATTGTGCCTGGGCACGATTGAAGCCTCTTGACGCGTCGCGCATCCCCACCAGCCCATCCAGTCACGATCGCCAGTGAGGGCAGCGTAGAAACATACAGTACCGCATCCGCCTTGGGTGCCCTTCGGGGGTGCGGGGATGGCGGGGACATCTGAGCAACGCAAACGAAAAACGGGGTCGCCTGCGCCGACGTTGGCGCGTAAGCTGCCCGCGCAAGCTCGCGCGTAAGCGCCCTCGTCTTCAATGTGGCGTCCCGCGCTGGTGGCCCGCGTAAGCCACCGCGTAAGGTCGCCGTGCCATCTTGCGTAAGACTCGTTCTTGATCGGCGCCCATCTTTTGGCCCCGCATGCGGGCCCCCCCTCGATGGCCTCATGTAGGAGGCCGTTTCTGGCATCGGGGGAGGGCTCCTGGCCGACAGGGTCGCAGGACGAATCGATCGATTCGTACATTGACCCCGTGGGCCAAGAGGGGAAGGGTAATCCATTCCCAATCCCCCCTCGGAGGAGGTTCCGACATTGCCTCTTGGGGTCCTCTTGGGCCGCTCTTTGGCGTATCCTCTGAACCATTTGAACTGTCGCTGTGCATCCTTTGTACCCCGTGGAACAAAGAGGTTCCCACGGAGGACAGTTACGGTAGCAAAGCGGAGGGCCCATTATTTGTCAGGCGTGCGCTGGGCGAATCGACTCAGTAAGTTGGACATGTCGAGTGGGCGGCGTTGTGGCTCTATTGGCGGCATTGCGGCTTGTGGCGGCCTTCTGGGGGCTCTCCGAGAACACTTTGGGGCCCTCTGGTGAGCTCTCTGAGGGCCATCTTGGGCCTCTTTCGGGTCACGTTGGGACGGTCTGAGGCGTCTCTTGGGGCCGTGGGGGCGCACTAACTCAAAACAGTGGGGTGGGATCAGATATTCCCCTCCCCCCTCCGAGTCTCCAACATTGCCTCTTGGCGCCCTCTTGGGCCGCTCTTGGGCGTGTCTTGGGCACTCTTGGGGCCGTCTTGGGGCCGTCTTGGGCCTCTTCTGGGTCTCTCTTGGGCCATCTTGGGCCATCTTGACGCCCGAGAGAGGTTCAGCGGGAACGCAAGAGCGAGAAGCCCAAATATCTGGATGTTCAAACGATTTCTGAGTTTTGACCTCTTGAGGGGGGCCTCGGGAGGCTCGAAGGGCACTCGGAACCTTCTGGGGGCTGCCTTGGGCCGTCTTGGAGGCATGTCGGAGGCTATCTTGAGCGATCTTGATGCATTTTGAACCATCATGGAAGCCATCTGGGGCTGCCGAGGGCCTTCCTGGAGCCATCTTGGGCCATCTTGGGTGGTTTGGTCTGCCGACTCGGGGTGGGGGGGAGGGGGGGCCCTCCAGGCCCAGAGGAGGGGGTAGGGGGAGGGGTAACCCACTCGTGAGGACACCTCGTGAAGCCACCCAGCCCGGGGGGCTGGTGGGATTCTCAGACGGGTCTACGCACCACTCCGCTCCGCTGGACCTCCCAGGAGCCCACGAAAGTGGCAACAGTTGCGCAATTCGCAGCCGGTCATTCGCGTGTGCTGCCGTCTCCTCCTCCTCCTCTTTCTCCTCCTCCTCCTCCTCCTCCTCCTCCCGCTCCTCCTCCTCCTCCTCCTCCTCTTGTGCCGTTGGTTGCACGGAGGGGCTCCAGTGCATCGATCCCGTTGCACGCACAGGTCGACGTTGGCAAAGCGAGCGAACCGGCAGGCGATCTCTCAGCGGAACCAGAAAAAGTTGCGCAACTCGCAGCCACGCAGGGAGCCGCGAGGTCCTAGCTGGGTTTGCGCACCACTCCGCTCCGCCGGACCTCCCGGGAGGAGCCCACGAGAGAGGGGGGCGACGGGGAGGAGCCCGCACGAGAGTGGCCGGGCGGCGCAGGCGGGACGGAGGAGGGAAGGGAGGAGGAAGAAGAGGGAGAGGAGGGAGAGGAGGGCCAGGAGGCAGGAGGCAGGGGGCAGGAGGGGGAGGAGGGGAGGAGGGGAGAGCAGAAGTACTCCAGTCGAAACGAGAGCCCACGCAGGAGGGCCGGGACACATCGGCAGCAGCACGAAGACGTGGGGGGGTGAATGCGGCAGGTCTGGGGCCCGAGTCGTGTCGACGCGGCGGTGAACCCAGCGCGGGCGCTCAGGGTGGATCTCCGCCAGTGGCCCAGAGTCGGCCGATACCGAACGATCTGAGTTTTCGGAAAACCGTGATCGTTCAAGGTCGAGCGATCCACGCGGTGTCAGAAACCAGCGCACGGGTAGTCACGACACGAGCATGCCGCACGGAATCGCAGGTTCTCTTTGGATACCCCGCGCAAGCATTCACTACGTGCCGATCTTCCCCACTGGCAGTGAAGGCATCTACGACATGCTTGCATTTTTTGTGTGTTGCACGGCCGGACTGTTCTCACACAGAGTGCAGACATTCCCACGTTCGTTAAGGTAACGTTGCACCAGGCAACTCCGAGGTGTAGAGGGGGCGGGAGGTTCTTCACAAGGTGACAGGGAAAACGAGGACGGGGGGAGCGGGGTCAGGCCTGTAGGGCTGCCGTGGCGACCACCCATGGCAGCAGGGGGGTAGGGAGAGGCTCCTACTTGGCTCCGACAAAAGTCTCCGTGGAAACGCAAAACAAGAAATATACGTATGTACACCCATCGGCGAGATGAGTTGTCGCGCGCGCGTGCTCAGCGCTCGCGCGCGCGATCCCAAGGCGTCCCCATGGCCATAACATGGTTCCAGGAGGGCCTGAGGCCACAGACGATAACGTCCAGACGACCCTGAGATGATGCCACCCCAACACGATCCCACCATGGATTCTGGACCGTCTCAGGCCAAACACATGAGTCACGAGTAACGCCGTGATGGCCCAATGGCAACAAGATGGATCCACGCGCGCCCAGGGTGGCCCCATAATGAACGCGCGACGGCTGCGCGATCCAAGCATGACTAGGATATGGTCTCAAGGTGACCCCAAGACGACCCTGACATGGCAAGAACGCTGCAACTTCGGAGCCCCACGTTACTTCGAGCCGATCCCAGCATGGCGGGATCTGTGAACGACCCGGGATATTTGTTACCATGCTTATAATGGGTGGGTTTTCAGTCTGGCTGAACTAAAGTTGTTATATTACAGGGGCGTGAGTGAGGCGGAATCCCGCCCGGCCCACGGCAGAAGACTACATTGCTAGGCTTCTACGGGGGTAGAGGGTTCTCAAGCCCTTCTGGCCCAAACATCTGCTGAGCCAGATCACCTTGTGCTGTTACCATTTGTGTGCTGGCTTGAGAGCCTCCTTCTGGAGGTTAAAGCAAGGTCTCACGATTCTTTCACCACCTCAGCCATGGCGCCGGCGCCCAGTGCTGTGGCTCCTTGGAGGCGCTCTGCAGCTGCTCCTGCTGACGACGACGCCGCTTGGTCCGCTTTCTCGGCTAACGGGAAGACGTGGACATGCGGCAGTTGCGGCTGCAAGCGCAACAAAAGGTCGTGGTGGTTCTGCAAGCATTGCAAGAAGTACCGTGCTGCACCCGACCCCGACACGTATGCCCCCCCCTCGTGGGGAGGCAGTTGGCACTCGAGCGGGGCGGGAGGACACAGCGGCTGGCCTGGCCTTCCGCTACGTTCTGGACCTCAGTTCGACTCGAATGCAGGTCGTCTCGGAGGTGGAGGCGGTGCTGGTCAAGGCTGGGGTGCGCCACAGCCTGTGGATCACGGCAACACCTCCATTCCCGAGTTGGAGAATTTGGTGGATTTGCTCACGAAGTGCGGCGACACGATGGGGGCGAGGAAGCATCAGTCCATCCTGGACCAGAAGCGCCGTGCTGCTGCAGCCCCAGCTGTTCCGCTGCAGGCCAAGGTCAACAAGGCTTTCCACGATCTTCGCCAGCTTCGTGAGCGCACCGACAAGGCCTGCAATGTCTACGAGAAGATGGAGGCTGAGTTGGCTGTGCAGCGGAGCCGAATTCAGACCCTCACGAACGAGCTCAAGCAGGCTGAAGAGGTGCACACGGCCCTGGTGGAGCAGCTGCACAAAGAAGTCGCTCCCCCCTCGGTTCCAGGCCCGCCTCCCGCCGCTTGTTTGGACATTGCGGCCATCATCCAGGGCAAGGCTGAGGAGATCCCGATTTCGATTGACTCACTGCTGGCTCCTCAGCATGACTACGAGATCGCGGGCGATGACCTCGAGGAGGCAAATCGCAGGGCGCAGGAGCTCAAGCAGTCTCTTCAGGATGCTGTTCGCAAGTTGTTCGGAGATGCGCTGGTCAGGGCCAAAGCCTTCCAGGCTGACCAGAAGAAGATGCTCGAGAGGCTCGCTGCCAAGAGGAGGCGCCAGGGCGGAGACGAAGCAGCAGAGCCAGCTGCGGGAGACGGGGATCCCGTTCCTCCTGCCGCCGCCGCCGCCGCGGGGGGCGACAGCGGGGCTGCTGCTGGAGCTGCCTCCTCAGCCCCCCAGGCCGAGTCGCCAGGGGACAGCGTCGCGGCAGATCCTGATCGCGCAGATGCTCGAGCTCGTGCTGAACGCCTGCTGTCACAGGCTTCCCCCCCCGCAGCCGAGGGGCAGCGGGGGGGCACCGCGACAGCCTGACTTTTCATGCCCGAGCCACATCGACGGTCTTGGGCCCGTTCTTGCGGGCCAGCCGTCTTACTTGTCTAACTTTAGTCTCTCGGCCTCTCGGCCTCACCTCCGTCGTTTCCTCCGCTCCCGTGGTGCGTGTCCCTCAGGCTGTGGCCTGAAGGCTGCTGTTCGTCACACTTGCTGGAGGGCCAAACGAATTTTGTCTGGTGATGGTCAGAGGTTCGACTCCCTGCAGGTTACCCTTTCCAAGCCTGCCGATTTTGCTCGTCCTAGCCCAGCTTACCCAGTGTTAGCTGCGCCTGGCTCTCAGTACCCGATTGAGGTGGTGCCTGGCCCCAGGATCTCCCAGGCTCCCCTCCCGTGCTCTTCCACTCCCCCTCCTGGCCTCCTGGAGCCTGAAGGGATGAGCTCGGTCGTTTTGTCTGTCCGAACTCTCAACTGCAACAGTTGGGGCACCCTTAAGAAGATGTTACCTCACACGCCTTCAGCGGTCCTGATGGTGCAGGAACACAGATTGGCGGGTAGTGAAGAAGTCGCCCAGGCCTCCTCCTGGTGTGCCCGCAATGGCTGGAAATCGTTGTGGACCCCAGCTACTCTCACGGATAAAGGCACGTCTGGGGGCACGGCTTTGCTTGTGAAAAGCTGGCTTGGTCTGTTTCCCCCCCCTTCTGGACACGCTATCGTTCCTGGTCGTGCTACTCTCGGGATCATTCAGGTTCCTGGTGGTCTCAGCTACCACATGTTTTCGGTTTACCTGCATGATGGGGAAGGTTTGACTGAGCGTAATCTGGAGCTCTTGAGTTTCGTTGGCGCCTGTGCTACGACGAGCTGCTCCAGCTTTGTCGTTGGAGGAGACTTCAACGTCTCTCCTTGCGAGCTGGAGAGCAGCAAGTTTATCTCCCAGCTTCAGGGCCAGATCATCATTCCTGGAGGTCACACTCATTTTGGTCAGGGGGCCCCCTCCACCCTTGACTACTTCGTTTGCAGTGGGGGGCTTGGGAAAGCCGTGGACTCCTGCTGGATCGATCTGACGACGGAGCTTAGTCCCCATCGTCCCGTGGAGCTTCAGTTCCACCGATCCCCCGCCACCCTCGAGGCCCTCAGTTTCAGGAAGCCTCCGCCGCTGCCGAGAGACCGAGTCATAGGTCCGTTGCTTCCCCCACCGTGCTGGGATCATGTGATCTCGCGAGCTCAGGCTGGTCTTGACGCTGTCGCTGCAGGCGACGCCGAGGCTGCCCTCAGCCACTTGTCGCCGGCTTACGGTGCGTGGGCTGATAAGGCGGAGGAGGAACTGGTCCACGTGTTGGGGGCGGATCTGGTGAAGGCTGGATGCAGGAGCAAGGGGCCTCAGCTCGTGTGGCGCAGCTTAGTGGGCCGAGACTCTCAGCCAAGGTATCCCGAGCACCGCGCCATCTGCTGGCTGGTGGCTCAGTTTCGCGCTTTTATGGGGCTGCTGCGGGCCGACCAAGGTTGTGGGAGCCAGGCCGCCAGCTTGCATGCTTTGCTTGCTAGCCCTCCTCCCGCGATTTCTCGGCACTCTAGCAAGTATGCCTCTTCTTTCAGCCGTGTTAAAGATTTTACTGCTGCTTTGCAGGGCGATCTCCGCCAGGCCCCTTCTGAGCAAATTGAGAAAGGTGATGAGCTCTTGTGCACCCTCATCACTGTCTTGGAAGGGGCCAATGGGGAGTATCGGTCCAAAGCGCAGTCTGACTGGAGAGCTTGGCTCACGGAGGGCCTCGATCAAGGGGCTCGACGGGTGCACGCGATTGTCCGTGACCCCACCCCCTGGGTCCCTACCACGACCCTCGCCAGAGATGGTTCTGTTGTTGCCGACCCCCTTTCTCTGTTGTCCCACGAAGGCACCAAGTTTGCCAAGTTTTGGGATGTCGGAGCTGGCAATCCTGTGGGTTGCACGTTGGTGGAAGCTCTCCCCAGGGCCGATCCCGCTCAGTTGCGGGCTGTCAGCAAGAAATATAAGAGAACCTCGGCTGTCACTTATGACGGGTTCGATTGCCGTCACTTTCACCTTCTGTGTGACGACGGACTGGTTGCGCTTGGCATGCTCTTTCAGCTGATGGAGTCGGTTGGCCAACTCCCGCGCCAAATTTCTGCGGCGTTGCTTGCCCTGCTCTCGAAACCCAGCGGTGGCTACAGACCGATAGGGGTGTTCTGCTCCTGGTATAGGGTCTGGGGACGCCTCAGGCGTCCCCTTGCCTTACACTGGGAGCAGCAACACCCCCGTCGGTACTGGGCTGCGGGGGCGTTTCGTGGAGCTGCGGATGTTGTCTGGCGTCAATCGTTTCGTGCTGAGACGGGGACCTCTAGAAAGGAAGAGAGTGCCAGCGTCTTCTATGATATGCTCAAGTATTATGAGACGATTGACTTAGACGTTTTAGAGCAGCGATGTCACCAACACAATTTCCCGTCTGTGCTGACCAGGCTTACCCTTTATGCGTATAGGTGCGGCCGCTTTGTCTCCATCGCTGGCATCCTGGATGGGCCGCACTTTGTGAGGAAAGGAGTCATTGCGGGCTGCAGCATGGCCACTACTCATATACGCATTTATGGTTTGTCTTCGTTCGATAAGCTCCCCTCTGTCCCCTCCGTTGATTTTGACATTTATATTGACGATACTGGAGTGTCTTGCACGGGGTCCTGAGAACATGTTGTTTCGTCTATTGTTTCCGTCTCTCTCGCTCTTCATCATGCTATTACTGATGAGAAGGAGATGAACTGTCAGCTTGCTCTCGACAAGATTTGTACCGTTGCGTCCTCCAAAGGCCTGGCCACCGCGCTGGCTGCGGCCTTGGGACAGTTTGGAGGCAAGTTCACTGCCTCGACTGTGAACCTCGGAGTCGACTACAGTGCTGGCACCTCGGTCAGGGCCTCAGGGCGGAGCTCGAAGCTCAAGAGCCGTGTGGCGCTGCTCTGCAGGAAAGCCCGTCGTCTCAAGCGTCAGGCAGGTTACCTTGGTCGCAAAGCCCTCAGAATTTTCGCTGCGGGCCCCCTCCCTGGAGGGGCCTATGGGGCGGACATCCTGGGGGTGAGCGACCAGGTCCTCCTAACCATGAGGCGGCAGGCTTTCAAGACTGTGAGGCCGTTTGCCAAAAGCAGGTCTCTCACGGCGGTCAGCCTGCTGTCGGAGGACCCGTGCTGGCGAGCTGCTTCGGCTCCCATCCTCCGTTGGAGCAAAGAGGTCTGGCTGGCCCAAACTCGCGAGTTCCCCTGGTCCATTCCTCATAGGGAGCTCCGAGACGGCTTCAGGAGTGTGTTTGCGCTGCCTAGGGTCACTTGGCCTACTGTTAAGGGCCCCGTGTCTGCCCTTCGCCTTACCCTCCTTCGCCTCGGTTGGACCATGGTTGACTATGCCACTATCTTGGACGACCGAGGTTATCGTTTGCAGCTCGGCCTGATTCCCCCCAAGCTGTTGGAAACTATGTGCAAAGAGGCCTACATGCGTGGGCTCGAGCGTGATCTTGGGGGAAAATGGGGGCTGGATTGCAGGGCGTGTCTGGATATTCCAAGAGCTGCTTGTGTCAGTAAGAAATTCTCCCCCGCGCAGAGGGGCTGGATTCGGGCTTGCTCTTGTGATGCCATTTGGTCTGCGGACAAGGCCTTGGCATGCGGGTATCAGGTTGATCCGCTTTGTCCTCTTTGCTCTGCTTCGCCCGACTCAGTGTTTCACAGGCTTTGGCAGTGCACGGCGACGGAAGTCCTAGAGTCGCGGACTCAGCTGGTCCCGGCCTCAGTTGTGCAAGATGCCATCGCCGTGTGGACAGCTCAGGCGGAACCCGACCCTCATGTGCGAGCTCTTTATACCAGAGGAGCTTTCGCTCATCCCGCTGACGTGTTGCCGCGTCCTGTTGAGGAGGGAACGAATGCCCTTCAGTTCGTTTGGCATTGTGTCGAGCTCCCTAGCCCTGAAGGTCCCAGGGTCCCAGTGAACGGGGAGATGTGGGGGCACGTTTTTATAGATGGGTCCTGTCAGCGCCACCCGATCAAGGAATTGTCTAGAGCTGCCTATGCGATTACTATGCATGCTGAGGATGGCACGTGCCTTGGAGAGGCGAGAGGCCCTGTCTGGGCTCACCTTCCTCAGACGCCTCAGGCGGCTGAATATGCTGCCAGATGTGTAGCCGCACAGTTCTTGGTGTTGCCGACCACTATTTATTCGGACTGTGCGAACGTTGTGTCTCACAGCACTTTGCCCTTGCCCGAGAGGTACTCGGGCAAGAGGTCTTATTCAGGAATGATCATGTGTGCCAACAACTTCGAGGGCCGTTTTTTGGAAGGAATTGTTAAGGTCAAAGCTCATTTAGATGTGCACCAGGAGGGCATCTCCGAGAGAGAACGTTTCCTCAGGCGTGGAAACGCTGATGCGGATGTGGGGGCGAAACATGCCCTTCAGCTTCACCCATCCGACCCGACCGAACTTGCCAATGTGGACAAGCTTGTGGAAGCGGCCAGGGGTTATTGCATCCTTGCTGCTAACTTGCTTCCTCTTTGGCCTAAGCTCTCTCTCGACGTTCCCTACCTCCCTCCTCCTCCTGCTGAGCATTTAAGCTCCCGCAGTAAGGTTGGCCATCGTTGGGAAGTCTGGGCTGACGTCTGGAGGTGTGCGGTGTGCCTCCGCGGGAACAGGGGCTCGTCTCGGCCCCCCCCTGGAAGGTGCCCCCAGGATTCCAAGCTGCATGCGGCTAGGCAAGATGCCCTTGGGCATAGGACTGTTGCATTCGACTGTTCTGACAAGACAGTGCTTTTCATATGCCTTAAGTGTAAATGCCACTCCACTGGTGGCAGGATTAGAGGCCTAGGAGAAGTTTGCAAGAAGCCCACCCGTGCGGGCCGCCAAGGTTGGGCCGCATTGTGCAAGGGTATTCACCCGCAGTACTCCAAGTCCAGCAAAGGTGTCACAGTTGACGACACCTCGCTCGTTCGTTGCTTCAACTCGTTTTTGGTTTCGAATCCTCAATTTTCGGAGGAAGATGTTCCTAGCCCTGTGCCCTCTGGCGCGTCTGGCAATGCGGCCAGCGCTGAAGGGCAAGAGCGCCCCAGCTTCACAGTTCCAGCTATTGCAGCCTCTGCCTGCGCTCATGCCAGCAGCGATGCGCCCAGCTCTTCCTTGAGTGATGTGGTCGCCTCGGCCTCAGCCACCAGGGAGTGCTTGGATCGCATTGCTGCGTCTCTCCGCTGCGAAGCGGAAGATTTGGGAACGGGTGGGACTGTGGAGGTGGGGTCGGGAGATTCGGATTGAATTTCAGTGTTCTCGCCTGCCTTTCTCTTTTGGCGGGTTTGAACCTTTTGTTCGTGCGTTGGCCTTCGGAGCCACTCCTTCTTTGAGTTTCTGTTCTCAATCTTATCCTCGGCCGTGCTTTGCTTCCTGGGCTTTCAGGCTGTTGTGGCATAGGTTGCTTCCCGCGACCTAAGCGGCGACCGCCTGTCCGCTTAGGACGCTCTCCGCGTTGCCGAATTTTCCAGCTGAGGGTCAGCTGGTGCCTGTCCTCGCCTGTCCGTCGCCTCTGTGACAGGCTTGGTTCTTGTCTGGCGAATTTACTCGGAGCTCGGGGTGCCTGCGATGCTCAGCAGGCGCCCGAGCCCGAGGCACCTGAATAGTGGGCGGGTGCGGGCGGGGGGCGCGGTGCGAGTGGGGACTGCCCGGCGTTGCGCCGTTAGTGACCCTCGCACCGTTGCTCCCCTGCCCCGCGCACGGCGCGGAGAGCGCCCCTTGTTGGATGAGGGCCCTCTCTCGCTCTTTTTTCGAGGCGTGTTCGTGATTCACCTGCGCGCTCTCGGCACTGTCCTCACTGTCCTGGCATGTCTGCCAGACAGTGGGAGCCCGAGCCGAGGGTCGATCCGTGCGGGGAGGGGGCCATAGTGGGCGCTCCGAAAGGAACTCGCGAAGCCCCCTCCCCAAAGCGGCTCTCGCCGAGGCGAGGTCTTCAGTGCTGGCAGGTCCCGCCCTGCCAGTTCTCTGCACTGTGCGGTGGGTCCGTGGAGATCAAAAAAGGGGTAGAGGGTTCTGACGGGGTGTCATTTACTTCCGCTGTTTTCCGCAAGCCTTCCGACGGCCTTTCGCCGTCTTCCGCCTCGTTTTACTTCCGTCGGCTTCCCCCAGCCTTCCGATTAGTAGATCGGGCCTGCCGACACCTAGGGTGCCCTTGTGTCCCGTGCGTTGCGCATCGCCCCAGAGGGTCTTCAATTCTAACTCGTCTCTCCACCTCTAAGCTCTAGGCTGACAACAAACTCGTCCTTCCCCTCCTCGTCCTCCCCCTCGTCGAACCCTGTGTCCTGTGGCTTTTGGAGGCCATACTGCAGTCGGAAGAGTCTTGCGTCCCGTCGCATGTCCTGTGCAATTAGCCCCACGTGGTAGCCTTGCCCCTCATTCGCGCCCTCGTGGGCTCTCCACTTCTTCCGGGCACCTGCTGTGGCAGGCTTAAGAGCTTTCCTCTGGCCACCTCACCTCGCCAAAGCACGTCGGCGCCTTCCTTCAGCTCCGTGGCCGTCTTCCTGACGCGACGGCTCTTGCAAGCCTGCGCTGGTGCAGCGGACCAGCGCACATGGGAGGGGTATGGGGTATGGAGAGGCGGGGCTGGATCGGCCGGTGCAGCGCGGGCCCCGTGCAAACAGGGCACCCTCTGGGCCGCCGACGGCTCCTCGATGACGGGCGCGTGGGTCAGGGGGAAGCAGGGCCGCTGCCTCGGAGGAGCCCGATCGGTGGAGCAGGGATCGACCCACATGGAGCCGGCCGATCGGGGGGCGATCGACGGGACTCGTGCGTCCCCGCTCGATCCTCGGGCTGGTGCGCTGGCCGGGCGGTCGATCGCCTGGGAGTCTCGTGGCAGTCGGTCTGGCCATCGAGCGGCAGAGTGCCTCGGCTGCCAAGGCGCCCCCGTGTTCTCCCTCCCTCCCTCCACGTCCCCCTGCCCCCTCTCTCCTCCCCTCGCTGCCTCCCTCCCTCTTCCCTAAGCCCCTTCTCCCTGCTCCCTCCCTCCCTCCTGCCTCTCCCCGCCCGTTCCTCCCTCGCCCCTGTCCCTCCTCCTCGTTACTCGGCCTCCTCCTGGGCGGGCGCCTGTCAGGCCACTGCACCGTCAGCAACCTGAACAGGAAGACGCGGACCTCGGTGCGCAGGGAGTGAGTTTCCAAGTGAGGGCCAGCAGGCTTTGCGCTTTGCCCTCCCCTCCCGTTCCAGTGTAACTTTCGACCCCTCCCTCCCTCTCCTCCCCTTGCCCCTGTCCCCCGTCCCCTCCACGGTCTCCACCGTCCCGGGGTGGAGACCGCTACCTTGCTTTACCTCGCGAATGGGGAAAGTTAATTACATGGGGGCGTCGGCTTATTGACGACGAGGGTGATGGACTGTGATGGGGAACGGATGAAAAGGAGGGCGAGAAGGCCGATAAAGAACACTTAAAACAAGGTCCCTTCCCTTCCATTCCCTCCTTCCATCGATTATTCTTGGTCTTCTTCCTCTTAACCTGACCTGCCAAATCGCATTGAATACATAATCCTCTGTGATACAACCATACCATGTCACAACTTGGGTCTGTCGTCCACACGGTGCGTGGATCTCCTGCCCGTTCCTTGCCAGCACGGCCAGCGCGAGACAGCCAATGACGCCCCTGGGGCCAGCGACCCTCCGGGCGGACAGCGACACGGCGGCTGGCGTTCCTGACCATGACCGATCTCGTCCAGGTGGATCTGGCCCCCCTGAGCGCAGCGCCTCGCGCAGCTCGGGGGCGGCCAAGAGGGGGGTGATGACGACTAGGGGTGTGGGGGGGTGGATATCACGGCGTGGGTCATGACATTTCCTCAGACTTCATGGCGCCTCCTCTTGTTTCACTACGTCCCTGGCCCCCCGCCCCCATATGGACGCCCCCTCTTGGCTGCCCCCGAGCGCAGCACTGGAGGAGGAGGAGGAGGAGGAGGAGGAGGAGGAGGAGGAGGAGGCGGCGGAGGAGACGGAGGAGGAGGAGGAGGAGGAGGAGGAGGAGGAGGAGGAGGAGGAGGAGGAGGAGGAGGAGGAGGAGGAGGAGGAGGAGGAGGAGGTCCCGCACAGTGTGCTCCTTCTCCTCGGCCCGTCTTGTCCCCGCGGAGTCCCCGTCCCATCAGCTGGGAAGCTGGCAGTCTTGGTCACCATCGGGCGCCTCATCACAGAGCAGACGCCTCGCCGAACGCCGCGCGCGGCGGGGGAACACGCCTGAGGTCCGCGGCACGTCTGCGCTGGTTCCTGGCGTGGCCGCGGCGCCCCCCGCAGCGCAGGGTGGTGGGGACGGCACGCCTTTGGAAGCCGCGCATGACAGCGCTCCCGTACATGGACATTATATTCGAACCCTGTGGCCCACTGCCCCCCCGGACCCCCCGAAATTAATGTTGATGGCGTGGTGACGGGGGCGGCGTGAGTGGACAGAAAGATTCGAACCCCCAAAGCACCACCTTTACTGAGATCAACATTGATGTCGGGGGCGTGCGGGTGATTTAGATTATCCCTCGAATGTGTAAGGGTTCGAGTCTATTGTCCATCTACTGTCCCTCGGCGTCCCTGTGGAGTTTCATTGATGACGCGGTGCTTCGCGCTGAAGGCGCCGAGGCGGCAATCGAGGAAGTCGCCGCGCAGTCTCCGGTTGCCCCCGGCGAGGAAGTTTTTCCGATGGGGCGCCTGGTTGTCTCGGGCAAAGCTGTGCTCATGTCCTCGTCCGTGGGCTTGGGTAAGCTAGACTGGACTAGAAAGAAGCCCCGCCTAGACGGCGCATCGGCAAAAAATCCACATGATACGAAGGCCAAGGAACAATGTGAAACACAGCAAAGCGAAGACAGGCGCGCCAGAACACGGACACTGAACGCAGGTCAATGCCGGGCGGCGGAAGACAATGCATTCACGGGGCAACATGCAAGAAGGTTTCAATCTTCAGGATCGATTTCCGAGTCTTTGGTTCGTGGGCACAGTCGTCCCCGCTTGCTTGCCAGGACCCAGAGGGCCTGAGCACCGTCGCGCCGCGCCCCCCCAGGCGCGCGGGGAGGGGCAGACGGCGGACAGTCAATGGCGCCGTCTCGGCTGTTTAGGCCGCGCTGCTCGACTCGGGGCGGGGTCGCAGAGGGGCCTCGGCTTGGCAGCGTCGCGCCCTTGGTGGCGCGGCGGAGAACCGGTCTCTTGCTGTCTCTGCCAAGCCAGGCTATGATCTTACTGATATCGAAGCGTCGGAGTCTTGTTTGATGAGCCGTGTTGCGACCTCAGGGTGCAGTTGTGGGGAGCTGCTTCTCAGCTCGAAGCAGGCTCGGATTTCAAAGGAGGGGGCGGTCTCTTTCTGGTTCGCCCCGAGCTGGAGCGTTTCGCTCAGGGGTGTCTTTTCAGCGAACATGGCCTCGCGATGGCTGTGCTGGGCGGGGCCCAGTGGCCCCGCGTTGCAAGGTATCCTTTGGGCTCTCCCGAGGGCCGCCTGTTCCGGCGGTGCAGGGGGTGCCCCGAGATCCTCATGCATCGGGTGTGGCTCTGCGAGGCTACTTGCGTTCATGAGGACCACACCAAGAGTGACCGCCTGGTCCCTCAGGCGTTGGGCGGGTGCTGATGCCTCTCCTGGTCTGTGGCTTCGGGGCGTGGCCCCGTCCGAGCAGACCTACTCGTCCTTTTCTGAGCAGAGTGCTCTGCCTGTTTCCGTGCACGGGCGTTCGCTCATTGGTCTGCTGCACTGCGGGTGCACTTCGAGTCATCCTCGGTGACGGCTCGAGGGCGGGGGGCGTTTCTCCTCCGACCCTCGCCGCCGCCGCTGTGGCGCAGGCGCGGGGGCAGTCTTTGTCCAGCTGCCTACGGCAAGTCCCGCCTCCGTGCTTGGATTTTGGGTCGTAGGCCTCCAGGGTGTTCGTTGGGATATCGAGTGGGGCCTCTCAGTGGCCTGCTGGAAGCAGTTTTGAAGCCTCTTGGGGGCCGTCTGGGGGCCTCTTCTGGGCCTCTTGGAGGCCTCTTGGATGCTGCCGGGGGCTTTTTGGAGGCCTCTTGTGCCTCCTGGGGGCTTCTTCGGGCGGAAGGCTTCACTTGTCGGTTTGTGTTCTACTTTCGGGTCCCTCTTGGGGCCGTCTTGGGGCTCCCTTGAGCTGTCTTGGGCGCCTCTTGGGCCGTTTTGGGAACTTCTTGGCGGCCTCTTGTGCCGTCTCGGGGCGGTCTCGGGGGCCCCTTGGGCCGTCTTGGAGCGTCGGAAGCTCGAAACGGCCTAGCGTGAAAAGCATCGAAACCATAAATCAATGATGTTTGCCTCTTTAGGCTCTCTTGGAGGTCCTCTTGGAGGCGTCATAGCCGCCCATCGACCCCCGTTAATAGGGGCGATGCAGTCGGCTGAGCGCGTTCCGCGGAGGGGGGGTCCCTAAGAAGACTACAGGCACCCTGCCAGGCAGCCTTTGGCATTGTTCCACGCCTCGACGTGCCGCAGGCACGGAGGCGGATTCAGCAGCAGGGTGGCGGTTTCGAAGTTCTTGGACGAGTTTCGGCGGGCCTTGCCGACCGAAGGCAGACGGCCCCCACGGCCGAACTCACCGCCTTCGCTCTGGCCCCACTCGTTTTGTGACTGACCACGCGCCATTGTTCGTCGTGTCGGAGCGGGGTAGGTTTCGGGCCTGCGACGGGCTTCCCGGGAACCTTTTTTTGCGCATTCGAAGGGCTTTGGAGAGCCGTGGCGGGGAGCGACGTTTACTGTCGACTGGGTCACCCCCCATGTGATCCTGATGATCCTGGTCTCGGGTCCCAGGAACGTTCCTTGGCTGCTGGCAGCGCTGCGGCCGACGCTGCCGCGGGTGAAGCAGCCGAGCGCAACTGGGAACTCGGTCTCACCGCGGACTCGCCCTCGACCGACCATTGGGACATGGTCGCGACCCTGGCCAGGAGTGAGGGCCCGTAGAGCTTCGGCGGACACTGCGGCGGCCGATCGCATCAAGCCCCAGGGCTCCCCGGAAACCCCCGCCCGAGAGAGCCCGAGCGGGGCGGGGGGCCACGCGGGGTCGTGCCGCCCGTGCCAGTGCCCACCGTGCCACCGAGTGTGGTAAACGTTTCGGGTGTTCCAGGTGCAGGAGCTGTTCTGCCTGGGGCGGTCTTCTGGAGTTGGACCTTCGGGCAGGACGAAAGGGGGGGATTGGGAAAGGGCGGGTTACGAGGGTTGCTGCATGCAGCTGGTTTCGGCCCCTCCGAGGGGCCCGTTCCTCGATACACTGTCGCCTCCGGCGCCGGGAGGCGCCGGGAAAATCAGCTGCGCGAGCTGATTCTCAAACCCCCCCTTTACCATCCCCCCCTCTCGCCCGACCCGAGACCTGACTGCTGGACGTGGACCTGGCTGCTGGGCTCGGGCTTGGAGTCGTGCTGCGGAGCGCGTGCTCGTGGCGGTGGGGCCCCAGGAGCGGCCTCGAGATGCTGCCCTGCTCGGCTCCAGGACCCCCTGGTCTGACGTGCGGGGTGGCCCCCCCCCCGCGGGTCCCGCCGCCTCGGCCTCTGGGGCCGCTCCAGATTCCAATCTACTTTAGAAGCGCCTTCCTACCTCAGGGGTCGAGCGGCTCCACCTTCTCCGTCCTCCCAAGGGGGGCGGACGGAACCCGATCTAGTTTGAACGCCTTCCTATCCGACCGATGGGTGTTTGTGCCACCATTGCGGGCGTACAGCCGCCGTGGCCAGGCGGAGGCTTGCCGCTGAGTGTTCTAAGCGTGCCACGAAGGGCCGCGAGGACCTCGCCCGCATCTCGCAGGGTAAGGTTCCCAGCTGTGCGGGCCTTCCCCAAAACGGGCTTCGGTGCTGGGGCTGGGCGAGAGGTTACAGTGGCTACATCCCAGGCGTTGGCTAGCTTTTCGGCTGTCTTCGGCGTCGCTCTAGCATACTGATGCTATGTGTGCGTCGCCCCCCCAGAGGCGACGCGCGCACCGAGAAATCTTGCAGTATATACGTCGTGGCGGGCGCTTTCTGGCCACCCCGCGCGGGAAAACATACATATACACATATATGTATACATTTTTTTTGTTTCTCTCTCTCTCTCTCTCTCTCTCTCTCTCTCTATATATATATATATCTATACGTGTTCGGGTCGAACGCGCGCCTCCAAGGATACCATATCGGAGGTTGGGGGGTGAGATCACAGTGGAACGGAGACCCCCAACCGGGATATCGTTTCG